CATTCATGGGATTTATGTAACAGTAAGACAGAGAATGTAAGTGTGCACCCACATGCAGTATTTTTGTTTGTATATTGTAAATACTCCTGTTGTCTGCTGTGTTCAGACTCAAATCCTGTGTGTGATGCCACATTCAGGACATTCAGTGTCCTTTTTTTAACAGAAGACCGTTGCTTGAAGCTGCAGCTAGACTGCAGAAGCATAATTTTTTTGTTTTTGAGGATGGAACAACTTCACACACAGATATAGGGAGGCTAGACCTATACAATTCATTTATTTTGGTTTATAAATGAATGTCAAGACATTTTTGTTATTGATTTCTGAAGCACTTTCTAAATAATAAAAAGAGAGTTCATATGTATTTACTGCATGTATGCATTGATGAAAAATAAGCCATGTGCAGTAATATAGAAAATTGAGGATGCAACGCATTGGTATGAATCGTGATGCATCGGGATATCGAATTGAATCGAATCGTTGACAGGATAATCGTAATCGAATCGTGAGACCAGTGAAGATGCACAGCCCTAATGCAGATGTGGCTGAACAGCCTTCACTTGGACGCCAAGTGGCACAGGCACAGGGAAGTCAGGGTGTCGCAGCATTGCCTCCACTCTCTGTCACGCTGGAGGGGCAGGGCCTATCTCCTGGTGCGCGTGCCCATGGGCGCCATCCCATCCCGCCAGGAGACCATCACCATAGGTGCATGTCTCTCAGGGTGGGGTGCAGTGCGGCAGGGCAGGACCGTTCAGGGTCAGCGGTCTGCCCAGGAGAGTGCGCGCCAGGTCAACGTGCTAGAGCTTCGGGCTGTGCAGCTTGCACTCACGCACTTTCTACCCCAACTGGGGGGCAAAAATGTGCATGTTCCTTGGAGACAGCATGTACGTTGTTGCTTAGACAACAGTCCCTTCTAGATAGTGGACGTTCTCACTCCACTCTGAATTTATGTGGCTGCGATTTCTGCCCGACATGTTCGGGTTGACGGCGGGGTGCCACAGGTCGGTGTCCCTCTTTATGAGAGGGGCTTTACGGCAGCGTCCCCCTAGCACCCCGAGGGCTCCGGCTTGGGACCTGCCCCTGCTGCCGGATGCTCTATCATCTCCTCCCTTCGAGCCCCTGGCCCAGGTGGGGCTTAGGTGGCTGCCCTTGAAGGCAGCATTTCTGCTTGCCATAGCCTCAGGGAAGCGAGTCGGGGAATTGCATGTCCTCTCCATAAACAATACATGCCCGAGGTGGGACTCTCAGGCGTTGCCCTTTGGGCAAATGTGGCATTCCTGCCCGGGGTCCTTCCACAAACCCACTTCAATCAGCCTGCCCAGCTGGCACGCTTTGACATTCAGGAGTACGGCACGTCGAAGTTGCTGTGCCCTGGCGGCACTAAAGGAGGTTATGCCCTCTAACCAGTGGCTGCCCCACTGGGTTGTCGATACCATCTCATAGGCTTACGGGGCCAGTGGCCGCCCCCTGCCATCAGGCTGAGATGCCACTCTACAAGGAGCATCTCAACATCTTGGGCTGCCCTGAGGGTGGTGCCCCTCGAGACCATCTGCGCCGCGGCGTCGTGGGCGTCTTCTGGCACATTCTCCAGTTGTCATCAGGTCAATGTCGCCACTCCCCATTCTTTGGGCGTGGTCCTTTTGCCGAGCTCCGCTGCTTCCAGTGGTGAGCAAGGGCTTGGATTCTTCATGACATTGTTGGTATAAGTCATCCAGTGCTTAAAGCACCGCCTCTGGCGGTCAGTAGGGACGAAATAGAACGATAGTTACGGCTGTAACTACGGTTCTATGAGTCCCGGATGACCGCCAGAGTTCCCTGTCACTCAGAATTATTGTGTGCTCGCGAGAAGATTCTGGGAACAGATCCTCTGACGACAGCGGCTGATATAGCCGGTGTCACGTGGGTCATAGGTGACTTTGTTGTTATTACATGCGCGCAATGGACATATCCAGTGCTTAAAGCACCGCCTCTGGCGGTCATCCGGGACTCATAGAACCGTAGTTACAGCCGTAACTATCGTTTCTCATACAGCATCTCTGTATAGCCCTCCTGGCTGGTCTACCTGCATGTGCCATCCGACCTCTGCAGCTCATCCAGAATGCAGCGGCTCGTCTGGTTTTCAACCTTCCTAAATTCTCCCACACCACTCCGCTCCTCCGCTCCCTTCACTGGCTTCCGGTAACTGCTAGAATCCACTTCAAGACACTGGTACTTGCTTACCGTGCTGCGAATGGATCTGGCCCTTCCTACATCCAGGACATGGTTAAACCGTACACCCCAGCGCGTGCACTACGCTCTGCATCAGCCAAACGACTCGTTGCGCCCTCGCTGCGAGGGGGACCCAAGTTCCCATCGGCGAAAACACGTGGGTTTGCTATCCTGGCTCCAAGATGGTGGAATGAGCTCCCCATTGACATCAGGACGGCAGATAGCTTACACATCTTCCAGACTGAAAACTCATCTCTTTCGACTCCACTTCGAGCGTTAGAACGATTAACGAAGCACTTTTATACCAATAAAGGACTGGATTACCTAAAGCCAGTTGAGTAGCACTTGAAATGTTTGGCTCTATGAAACCTGATATACTTATATGATTCTGTTTTCTTCAAGGTTGTGTCTTCCTGGTCGAATGTACTTATTGTAAGTCGTTTTGGACAAAAGCGTCAGCTAAATGCAATGTAATGTAATGTAATGTATTCACATGATATTCACTCTGTCCTAAACGCCTTGTTGGAGCTCCTGCCCCCCCCCCTCCCTGTGAGCCCACTGTGCTCTGATTGGTCAGCTCGCCCACTCTGTTCTGATGAGTCCACCAGCGTTACAGCGGAACATCAGTGATTATGTGTTGCAATGGCGTTAGCAACCAGAAAATGACACCAGTAATGACAAACAGATGAGACCAGGTAATAACCAGAAAAGCATGTCATGGGACCTTTAAATGGACTTGTGCGACTTAATAAAGTAATGAAAACTATTTTTCTTGTATCCGCCTGATATTACTTTAGCTCAGGTATATTATTTGTTCTTTTGTCCTGAAAGTCTTTGCTTTGCCACCAATCCAGCTGCTGTTATCAAGTTGAAAATGCCAAGAAGGTCACAAACAGCAGACACCACAGTCCCTCTCAACAACAACAAAAAGCCTCAAGTATGTTGTGCGTCCTGTATTTAACTGTGGACTTCTAATTTACAACAAAATAATTTATTTTGTAATCAAAGATAGAACATTTAAGTTTGTGCAGTTTATTGTGATAATTTAAGGTGTCAAGTGGAGGCATCTAAAGGAAGTAAACAAAATGTCAAGCAATTGCAAACCAATATTAATAAAAAAGTAGTTCTCAATGTATTCCCCCGGATACATTTCTTAAGGTTTCTTAATATAAAAGCACATGAAAGTCGTGCTTCAAGCTCTAATATCATCACAATAATTGGACATTTCCTCATGTTGGCCTTTTAGCAACAAGGAACAATGGGTGAATAAAATGGTCCATAAAATCTATTAGTCTTTAAGCAGCAGGGTTTCATCTGAAACACTGAGTGACAATTTGTTAATACACTCTTCATCTAATTTGAATGCTTCAATAAGCTTTGCAAGGGGGCACAAAGTGTGGCCTTTTAAGAGTTGCTATTGCACAACCATGAAAAGACATTTGAAGAGCTTCTGCAACAAAAAAGGAGTTTTAAATAACGAACCATAATGAAGTGTGGGTAATTATCAGTGTTACTCAGCTGCTGCAGTCTTGATGTCTCATTTGTATCAATGGTGCTTGTAATTGCGAAAGGTACAGCACATTACGACACCTCCAATGTCATTCTCTTGTGGGTTTTTTTGGCTGCTCCTGCATTTGCAAAGTGTTATTACTCACTGAGTTAAGATCTGGGAACAGTGCAACGTCAATACAAATTATTCAGGTGAAGAAAAACCAACAGCTTTCACAATCATACAGATGTTCTCACTAAGTCTGACTCATTGCTTTTATTGTCACTACTTTCTCACGGCAGCGTTAACAGGGATCATCTTAGTAAATGCAATGTTAGTATTATAAGAGAAAACAAAACCGATTGGTTAAGTTAACAGACTCACAGCTCAGTTCAACCTTGACCTTATTATAACTTGGGCATGCATACACGCATTATTGAATACATTTTGGGTGTACTCAATTTCAATTAAACTTGCAAAAACAGGTGATACTTTGGCTTGATTTTTAAACTCCGTGATTCAGATGACATTGTAAACAAATAGCAGCAATTAACAATGTGAAGTAATACTTATAAAAGCCTTTTGCTGGATGAATTAAATCAACTTATTTACAGATTTGTATGTATTCATAGATAGGGAAAAGATGTTTCTCAATTAATTAAACAAATAGTTTAACAATTGATACAGAGGTGGTTCATGGAACGTAGAGAACATTTGTTCACATTGTAAAAAAAATACCAACCTGGCTGTGTAAGTCAACTAAAGGAAACATGAGTAACAATGACAGAGACAAGAGAATAAATAAATAGTTAAACAAATATAGAGTTTATTTTTCAGATGTACATTAAAATATAAAAAATATAATAAAGAAAGTAAGCTCAACAGCATTTGACAATACACAGAAACACATATCCACAGACATGCACTCGTTGCCACAGTGACGCGTCCTAAAACCTATCGATCATAAATCTATCGATTAGATTTATGATTGGAAAATTATAAAAGTAGGGTAGACATGTGGATATTATCCGGCTGAACAAAACGTGATCCGTCTCTTCAATGTGTGTCAACCACAGACCTTATTTCCAGCTATCTTCCAAAATCCTATGGAGAAATTGCATTGGTTTTTGTCGAAGGAACCGGAAAAATGTTAACTTACTCCCGGGTTTTAGGATGCGTCACTGTGGCACTCTATAGAAGATGTGTCATGTAAAGACTTCATAACATGCATTTATAAAGAAACACAATCTGTCTCCATCTCTTTGGAGCATTACATTACTAATGGCATACAAATTGCCTCCCACGTCCTGTAATAATCCCATGCATTAAAAGGTGACCGCAACATTGATTTCCTCTGGTCTGTTAATGTTAGTAGCGCTTACATGTTGCTAAATATTATGGTTATCTTTCTCCTCCTTCCCCTCGGTTTCCTCCTGTTGCTCAAAGAAGATAAGATGAAGGGAACTGTTTGAAATTAAAAGTAAGGTCTGAGTAGACAATATCCTCTCAACAGACAGGATTGTATTTAATGTGTATTCTGACTCAATTCTAAATGACTAAGTTACTGTTTGATATCTTCTTCGGGGAACATGACTAATAAGTTCATTATGTGAAAGTAAGTAAACAAAAACAACAGCTTCTAAGAAATGTCCTTCGGAACAGACAACTGAGGTCCAACACTACTCATCCGGGTTGAGTTTGTGCATGAGATGTTAACGGACGATTTTCTGGTAGATCTCCACTGTTTAAAGAGTCCCCTCACTTTTTGCCGAAATTGCTGTCCTACAATGACGTAGAGGATGGGGTTGAGAACACTGTTGAAGAAGGCGAGGTACATGAAGACATGGCCGCAGATGTTAAGGGCGTAGTCAAGGCTACACCCTGTCAGGACTCCAGCTTCTTGCAGCAAAAGTAATATCTTTGTCACGTGGAATGGCATCCAGCAGATCATAAACGCCAGGAGGACCGCCAGCACCAGAGTGGTGGCCTTTTGCTCCTTCTTCTGGGTGTTTAAGCCCATCAAATATCCGGTTGTTCAGAGCTTGAAGAATATGTATAGTACAGTAGAAGATGATGACAAAGGGGATGATGAAGCTGAATGTAACCTGCATCACATCAAACACAACCCTTTCAGTGAGATTTCGGAAAGCCATATAGCATATATTAGATTGTATTTCAGGGAAATCTTTCACTTCCCTGAAGACAAGTGTGGGGACACTTAGGAGCAAGCCGAAAGACCACACCAGCACACAGCCCAGTTTGGCATATTTTGGCCTAGATATTCCTATATGGGACAGAGGGTTCGCTAGTGCCATGCGACGATCTATGCTTATCAAAACGAGGAAGTAGATGCTAGAGTAGGCGTTCATGTTGATGCCAAAGTTGACCAGTCGACACAGGTGATGAGAAAAGGGCCAGTTGAATTGGTTGGCTGCATTCACAGCCCAGAAGGGCAGACAGGACGTCAGGATCAGGTCAGCAGCAGCTATGTTGCTTAAGTAGATCTCAGCCACGGTACAGGACTTCTTATGAAGACAGAAAACCCCGAGGACAAATACATTCAACACAATTCCCAGCACAGCGACGAGCAGGATATACACCGGCAGCACAGAGATGTGCCAAAAATGTGGTTTTTCACTATAACACTGACTCCCATTCATGTTGTTTTGCTCTCCATTTATCGCCGTAGTGTTGAAGTTAGCGAGGATGCTGTGGAAGTAAGAGGAAGGCAAACAAGATGTTTAAACAAACACAAATGCAAGGTAACTTCAACATTTCCTTTGAAATATGTTATGCTGAGATAATGCTTGAATACACAGTTACACTGAACAATGTGAAATAGTTGTATTCCAAGTTTAATGCAGGTGCCAGACTAGTTTATGATGAACACAAAATAACAATAAGGATTGTTATACATGTATGTTTATGTACAAGCAAAACAGAAAGTTATGAAATGTTTTTATGAATAACTTTTATACAGGCTTTTTATTTCTCTCCCCACGACAACTTGATAGGCTGTTATCCGGTTATAACTTGAATGAATATGCAATTCATTCTCTGGAATTTTCTAGCATATCTTGAATTTAAGCAAACATGCTCTGACAGGTTCACTCTGATCTTCAAAATGAATTTGGCTTTCACAAAGCAAACCAAGGGATGCACTTGCCCTCTTGGGATTGTTCACTTCGATATTTGATCATATTTGTATATGCAGATTAAGGGTAAAGAAGTATACATTAGCAGACATTCGAAATACTCAAGTCAAGTACAAGTACCATCATTTTAATATAGTAGTTGAGTAAATGTCCAAACCTGCCACCACTAATTTACTATTTTAAAAGTTTTCAATATAAATGCATCAAGAGTTATTCTAAAATGCATCAACATAGTGCACACGTCACCATCTTCTAACATCTAACACTCATCTAACAACATGTTGAGACATGCAGTTAGAGAACTGTTAATTTGTTGGAAGAAACATGTCTTCCATTTTAACAGACTGTCTAAATGTGGTGCCGGTATTACACTATTTTCAGTTTCAGATCACTTTCATGCAGTAAAGTACATTTATAGGATGAGTCTGTACAAAGCACAACACATTACAGATGTTACTTATTTACCCCCTCAGGATTATAAAATAACCCCACCACCCATCTGTTCTGTCTACTGCGGTCTGGCAGGCGGTACCGCAGCATCCAGACTCAAATCACCAGACTAAGGGACAGTTTCATCCCACAGGTCACAAGACTGACACCTGAACTTTTGAAAGAACATCCATAACATTCATCCGTTTGCAACTTATATCGATCAATATTCCAATGACTTGTATATAGACTATTTTGCACTATTTCTATTTTATTTGTATCTGTTTTATTGTGTTGGCCTGTGACCTAAGATTTTCATTGTCATAAGTACACTGTAGCTATGTACAAATGACAATAAAAGCCTTGATCCTTGAACCTTATTTATAACCCATGCTAACATTCAAACTACAGTCAATCGTGGTAAAACATTAAGAAAGTAATATGCACACCATATGAATGTCAATGCCTACCTTGTGGACGGAAGAGCCATTCTTCTTCTTGTGCAGATACACTGTTTCAGAACTTTGTTTCACTGAGGTCTACCTCTGACACGCTCTCCGAAAGAG